AGATCTTGTAGATCTCCAAATGGTAACTTATATTCTAATTTTTTGAGAAAATCAGTCCCTGAATTCGAGACACTAAAATATTCTAGTTTTGCTTTAAAAGCATGTTTCTAAAGGATAGTAAATACTGAGTAAATATAAAGTAACTATTTACCAAAGAAAGGAATGAGAGTCCTAATCTAAAACTGCATAACTAGGAGAGGGAGGAGCATATGCATTTAATTCAAGATGAGATATCATTTGAAGATGGTGGAAAAAGATGTCACTAGATGGCACTGATTTCCACTATCGGCAGTAACTCAGTAATGTCTTTGCTATATGCAAATCAGACCTCAGCTGAATCCTAACAGATACCAAGTATTTAAAGAACTAAGAGAATTCAACGCAATTCAAACACAATGATTAGCACAGTTCTGTGTGCGTTGGATGCTATTTGCAGGAAGAGGCTCAAAAAATATGGAGTAAAATTTGGTAGTCTTAAACACCTGAGGGTTGCTATTAATAGAAACTTTCTTCACTTGATTCAGTCTACTTTGTTGTGTCTGCTGCTGCTTTACCAAACACAAGTAGAAAAAAAAAAACCCCTATGTAATGTTCCTTCTGTTCCACCTCAGTTTTTCTTCTGACTAGACAAGGTTGCGTTTTGGGGCTGCATTTTCCGTGTTTGCAGGTGGTTAGGCATGGGTCTCCAACCACATAGAGAGATACGGCATTTAGGCAGTGGGCTCCAGTAAGTCTGCTGAAAATTACCTTCATTACACTACATGAAGAAGCTTTAATATCTTAAAGGAACAACAATAATTTAGAGTCTCCCATCCAGCTCCTTGCCTGTCACTAGTGATCACGCAGCTTGCAGTAGTATGTGCTGCTGCATGAGCTATGGCTGGCCCCTGCAGCCTGTTCTCATCTCTTACTAGCGAGGCTCCCTGCTAAAGGGGGATCAGTTACTTCATTTCCATGCAAGTTCTTTCCTTTTTCCACACTATGAGATTCTCTGCATCTCCCTGCTTTTTCCTAAGCAATTTCAGTTTAATGAGATGAGCTAAGCTTTGTTAAATCAACAAACATGTCTTGCACCAGGTTCTAAAGTGCAGACTGAGCATGGGCCTGGACGCTCTCACAAGGGGTGTCAGTTCATTCAGTATAGAGTTGGTTAAGAATGTACTCAGGGTTTTGCTGTATATAAAACACAAAGTGTAAGCACGGCTATTCTAGTTATTGCATTTGTCTTACAGTAATGACAGGCTTCAGAAATAAGGGGAGGGAGAAAGCAATTTAAAGCTAATTACAAAAGAATCAAGGTAAGGAGGTCTCATTTACTGCAGTGAAATTTAACACTGAGTTTGGGAGCTATTCTGTACACTGAAGGACGGATTAAAAAAAATACTTGAGGCAAACCAATATACAAAAACCCCCTAAGAACCTCTAAAGCTCCTAATTATTTTTCCTCCAGCTTTGAACAGAACTGCTGAACGATACCTCTCTCCACTGCATTGCTGTAAGCTACTCTATTGGTTAGGAGAAAACAGATTTCCTTATTTCCCTCAGGGACACAATAGTTCTTACTGAACAGAAGGATCAGATAGGAGGAAAAAGTAAAAGTATCCACTGAAAGACAGTAGAAAATTCCTTATGAATGTGTACTCTTATTTTAGTGTGTTCATGGAGCACATATATGAGTACTGGTCACCTCACTGCACTTAGGTAGTCCTCTGCTTTTATTTCCCTTTCCTTGCACTACTAGGCAGAAGACACAGAGAGAGAGAGGTAAGTGCTTAGATACATCTAAAACATGAATAAATTTAAATTGTTTGTGCTTGTTTGGCTCAGCTGAACACGGGCTTTGCGTACCAACTGAAACCAGTAATCTTCCTTGTGTCCTTCTCCAGATCTAGCAGAAACCTTCTGGCAAAATAGATGTTCTTTTGCAAAACTAAATCTTCAAATGTTTCTGGCTTCTGAAACCTAAAGTGAGCATGGAGTTGGGACACTCAAAAGCTAAACTCAAAGGGACTGAAATAGCTATTCAGCAATTGTTTATAATTTCTATTTTATACTTAATTTTCTATTTTATAGACTAGAACTGTGTTAAGTATATGTCATATATAACACTTAGCTTCAGGGGCAACACTGATCTTGAGGCTGCCCTCTGTCAGGCCTGAGTGACAGTCGCAGTAGCTCTCTGTATCCTATATCAGAGCCTGCACCTTGTGCTTTTACTTGAGATGTGCTATCTGCTTTTGAATATCGAAGAGGTGGCCGCTACCACCAGAAGACCCACAAAGTTGAGGTGGGGAGAAAGGGGTGGGGGGGGGGGGGGGGGGGGGGGGAAATCCTTACCTCACTTAAGCAGAACTGCCAGAGATTGTCTATCCTCCGGTCTTGGCTGTCCAGCCTATGTAAATGACAACTGTCAAATCTAATTATCAGTATAAATGTGGCCTAAAAGCAGTTATGTATACTTCATCCTACTGCATCTTGGATATGGTTAAACAGCATGATTCGCTTAGGAAAGTAAAATGTCATCATAAGAATTTAGCATGACTTAATTACTAAACTTTAAATATATACTTCACCTGATTCTGCATCAGCTTCCACACAAATCCTTACTCATACATTGATTTTGCAAGTATACAGATGCTGTTTCAAAGAGGAATTGTCCACACAAGAAAACTTTATAAAAGGGTATGTTTATTTCTATTCTGCTTTTCCATTTGGTATAAAGGCAATGAAAGTAACTTGGTCTTAACGTGCTGTGACCTGAAAATGACTAAAAATGAGAAAGTAATGACTAATAAATCCATGAGTCAAGAGGTTGCACGAGTTTGTTACTGATCCATCATGAGATGTCAAGCCAGATAAGAATTCAGGAAAAGGAACGTGTACACAATCAAACCTACACTTTGATAATTTTGATGGGCTGATGTTACTTGCTCAACTTTCATGAAGTCCCTAAGAGACAGAGATCAAACTGTGAGTTTTTTGCAGACAGTTTGGTAAGACCCAATTCTCACACGTTGCAGAAGCTCTTCCTGAAAAGACCTGAAGCATTAGGCTGCAAGATCCTATACCTACAAATCGTTTACTGCAGTGTCAAAATGAGTAACAATTATTTCACTTGGTGTTCACTTGCAACAGAAGGCGTAATTAGGGAATTTCTGTCACCGTGAAGAAAGTCACATACTTGACAGGAAACAGGGGTTCTGTAGAACCAGTCCTGAAACAGACTTCAGTGTGATTGTACAGATACACCAACAAACTGCTTCAACATATAGTTTGACAGTATCTTAAGCTAGAATGACAGCATGCACATTCTTTAATTTTTCCTGTCACCATCCATTTTGACTATCTTATGTTACCGTTATATGTGAACTACCACATGTTCTTTATCTGCTTTCTTGGCAAAATAAGAGATCATGCATAAATTCTATGAAAAAGGAATTCCTTTATTTTTTTAAAAAAGGACCATTTTTCCATTACCAAGTGAAAACTTTACAAAGTAAAGTATTTCTCTTCCAGTAATATTTTAATATAAACACTTAAATCCCTTACTCTGGTCTTACTGTTCTAACAGGAATTCTTGTGGCACTGCAGGACCCAGGTACTTTCAGCCTCACTCTAGTATCTAATCGTAAGTTCATCACCTGTTTAAATAAAACCATTTCTGTGGCCACTTACCATCAGCAAGACATCCTTACCACCAAACCAAAAAATAAAGCATCTTCACTAGCCCAAAAGAGACTAAATTATAATAGCATTATTACAATGAGAAGCTTTGTTAAAAAAAATTTATTTTGAAAGTTAGACACAACCTTAAAATTGTACAAAGACAACAAGCACTCAAATTACACAAAGAGTTAGCAGTGAGTACAATGTGAGCACAACAACAGCGAGTCTTGCCTCTCTTTATATGTAAATATAAATAGAGATTATCCTTGCCAAACTTCCAGCTCTTCCCCCCCCCCCCTTCTTCCCTGAAAACCAGCTCATTATGCTGCAAAACCTAGCAGGGAGCATTTCACTGTTGAGTTCAACAGAATTGCTAAAAGGGGCTCTGGCTAAAAATAGTCCTTCTATCATGAGAATATCCCATACTTTGCCGAACCAAGTTTCTCTCTCAATTGAAAAACAGCTTTCCCTTTCATTATGTCAAATGTTTCACCTCCTCTAGGGACCTGCCAAATTACAGGCTTCAAAATGCTTAAAAATATTAAAACTTGCTCATGTTTTTTCAAGAACATGCAAGCTGAAACTAACATGGTTTATACATGTAAGCAGTCATAAAACAGAGAATGTTCCTGTTTGTATTTTACTCTTTGAAAGTGTTGTTCCAAGAAAATAACTTCGGAGTAATTTTAGCTGTGAGTTGGCTAAACTAATATAAGTACCTGGTCAGAGAAGAAAATATATATTTTTTTTTTTTTGTATTACATTTAGAGCTTCAAATATATTAATAAAACCACCTGGCAAAAAGCATCCCTTATAGCTTGTCCCTGCTTTTCATTTTACATACATATGTAGACGTTGCTACCATCCTCCCTGTACTTCTGAGAGTACTCTTCACAGGAAATACATGGAAAAATAATGCAGTGTTCTTGCAGAAAAAAGGAAAACCTCATGGAGACTGTTAAACAACTTAACCACAGCCTCTGTTCTATAAATTAGTTGTTACTTAGGTTTAGATATACCAGAAAACTTCCGCTGTAAATCTTTCCTAAGATCAAAAGCAATTAAACCAAGGTTATGCTTTATCCAACTATAGCCACACTGGCACAATTATGCTCTGAACTTGAGTGTTTGCAGGACTCTGTTCCAAGACTGAGTGGAACCATTTTTACTTTTAAAGAAAATAAGTGTAACTGTCTTGCTGATGATCCGGGTTATGTCCATGAATATAAACTTACTTACTCATTATTCTTTCTAGCTTACCTGGAAGTGCTTTATTCTTCATTGTTTTACTCCACTATGAACGTTTGTTGCAATGGATTGGTATCTTGATTTTCAAAAAGCTTGAAAACTGTTGTGGCTTTTTTTTTTTTTTTTAACAAAAATATCCTAGACACCAGTGTCCTACAAACTGCTGTGCATTGGCATTAAGCCAGTTCCATTCAAAATCCTGATGACCATTTTTTGCTTCCAAATTGTTATGAGTTGGTAGCCTATGGCTACACTGATAAGGTTCCTCACCAGGCCCGTACCTGCTGCAGTAATTCTGCATAAAAAATAAATTGGTACTAGAATAATTACTGAAAATACTTGCAGCATTGTATTAATTCTGTAAATTGAGGCTCTGTACACAGACTGCTTTATAAGTAGAGTAAGCTTTTGAGAAATTAAGTGTTCTAACATTGCTTTGCCTTATTGAAAATGACCGGCTTTCTTTTTTTAACAAAAGCTGTTGATGTTGCTAACTTTTATTTTTATGTAAAACCGTATAAGTGAAAGTAACTAGTTTTTTTTTCAGTTGTGCAAGAGCCTATTTAATGTTACCGTTAAGCTTTTCAAAATGTCTGTTGGTTTGCCAGTCAAGGGAAGAACATACAGCATTGAATCCTATATAAAATGGTTATGGGGTGCAGCCTGTGAAATCCCATGTTAGCAAGAACTGAGCTAACTAGCCCAAATTCATAGCTTTTAATCATACCATCTTCTCTAGATGCTTTTGTTTAATGGAAGCCTGTTTTCTCAGCACTCCATTGTTTTGTATTTGCTTCAATTCTAAGTTAGCATTCACAAGGTAAAAAAAAAAAAAAAAAATTAAAGCAAGGATGTTGTTTCACCGTAATGAAACAGCAGCTGTAAAAGAACACTTGCAATTACTGTCAGGACAGAAAAGGCTAGTGGCAGTGTACCTTTCACTTGGCTTAAGAAGATTTATAAAACAGTTCTAGCCCAAGGCAGTTCATGATCTTAAGCTAAACCCAAGCTTGTGCAATAGCAAAAAATATTTTGGAAGGCAGATTTTGATATCTAGGATTAGAGAAAAAAATTACTACTATTATTTCTGTATGAAGCTCTAAACCAGCAACCAGTATCATTGACAGGATTGCTGTGACTGCATGGAGTCCCGCTAGCTTCAACAGGGACCAAAGGTGCAGCAGTGTACTGTGTACCCATGTACTGGTACACACGGATAGGCAGCCTTCTGCTTTTTAGTTTTGTCCATTTATTCAAACACGTCTCATAGCAGAAGGCTGTGCAAGACATGGTTATAATGTAACACGTGCATTTCTGTAGAAGTTAATTGCACAAAAACCAGTTGTTAATAAGTATGAAAGTCTCTCTCAATCCAGCAAAAGAGACTGCACTTGAGATAGCTAGGGAAATAGCTACAGAAACAAAATAAGCAGGTTATTTTGTCTCTTTTTAGCAATTACTTAGTATTGCTGTAAATATCTGGAATAAAAGAAATACTGAGAAACAGATACCGTGAAACTCTACCGGGGGAAAGGAAGCTGAACAGAAGAACTGGCTCCACCTGAAGGAGTTAAAGCATGCTTACACCATTGTACCCACTGAGTGGAGGATTTCTGTGCTGCTAGAAGATGCTTGGCACCTCCCTGAACTCAGAGCATCTCAAGGAAATCTAGAGCAGGCAGAAGTTGGTCGTATTCCAGCACTCTGCACAATGCTCCCTCATTCCATTCAAAAACTTTATAGAGCGCTTACATCGAGTGGACTATTTGGCATAGTAATTTGGAATAGCTCAGTAACAGTTTACTAGATTTTGGGGAGGGTAACATTATTGAAATTCTTTAATTTCTCATTTTACTTTTTGCCAGTCCAATAGATGTGGCCTTGGCACAGAGTAAGAAATACAGCCCAGGTCTGTAATTCCAGTATAGCTTCAAAGTACACACGCTTTCCTATTTGCGCTTACAGGTATTGAATAGCCTTTGCAGTAACTATTTTGAAAACTATTTTAATCACTTTACCTCCTTTGACTAAAAGGCTGAGGACAAGGCCAGAGATGTAGAGGACCTTCAGGGAAAGATGGAGGAGCCTCTTCTCCTGGGCACTGTAAAAAAAGCTTTCTCAACTCCACAATTTAGTGCCTCCCCCACCCCCAATTTAGATTTAGCATCCTTCGTCCCGCCAGTAAGAAAAAGGCATTAATCCTCTCTACTAAGACCTTGGTCCAGTATAAGTTTCACTTGCCACCAGCTGCACTGCAAACCACACTCAGTTACTGGTTTCTCTACTCAACTTTGAAAGATCGGCACTGAAACTGAAGGGGACATGTTAAACCGAGACAATGAAACAGTGATTTTAAAAAAGCGGGCATGGTAAACCTGCAGAACCCCTAGCTTTGTGAGAATAGTGGCATTCAGAGGTCAGTGCAAGAGACCGGCTATTTAAGCTAGATAATGAATACATCCATGGTTGCACCAAATAGGATAAGAGAGTATTCTAGAAGAAAAATGTTTCCCGTTTTAGAACGTAAATCGAACTTGAATAGGAATTTGCAGTAACCCTCCCCCAACAGAGCAGTTATATTTTAACTAACCATTCTACAGCTTCTTGCATTTCAAATGTGCAGCACTTCTTCTTGGTCACTCACGGACAGGATACTGGACAAAGCAATCCACTGACACGATTAACAATCCCTATCGCATCATCTTCCTCGTATATTTAGATGCACAGTTTAGGTAAGTGAGGTCCTCCATCCAAGTGCCTTTTTCTTAGCATCAGTTACAGCTGGACTGAACATAGATAAGGTGTATGCCAGGTGTGTTCCCTACATTCATCATGAGTCCTACATCAATGTAGCTCTGACGTCTACAGCAGGGTTAGCAACAGTCTGTGGCATACCACTAAGTTCACAAATAGATTGTCATTTCTACAATAATACAAAATAGCTTGTAAAACCAATATGTAACACTGTATATATGCATGAATATAAAAATAAACCACACCATCAATATGTAAAACTTCACAACGATGATGAAAAGAGTTTTCTTCTCAACGGTCTTCAGTATTGATGAGTTGGTTCTCATTGTCATACCCATCAGGCAGGTATGCTTTCCTTAGCTGGTCTGACTTAGGTATCGAACTGCCATTCTTGACGTAGCGGGACAGGAAGGCTCGCACAGACGGATGATCAGCCTTCTCAAGTGGAATATTCGCTTCCAGGCACATTTTCACAAAGTCCTGGATGACACTGGTTTTCTCTGTCTGGGCAGTACTGTTGCACTGAAGGGAGGCAGTCAGAGTCCTTTGCTTCTTCCTGACGGTCTGTTCTTCAAACTCTGCCTTTCGCTTTGTGTGTGTTTTAGACTTGAGGTGGTCATTGATGGCAGACTTGCGAACGTGATTCAGAACCACATTGCAGGAAGTACAGAAGAGTTTTCCTCCATCTTCGTGCAGCTCACTGCCAAACTCAGTTACGCGATCCTGAGGAGTCACATACAAAGCAGTCTTCGAGCGGTTACGTGATGGAGCGGACTTCACTCCAAACCGTTCCATTGTTGCCTTCAATAAACTTTACCTGAAAGCTGGGGAAAAAAAAATTGCTGTTAAAGCGCGCTAATGATTTCAACCAAATAGTTCTGGATGCAGTCTATTCAATATTCAATACAGCGCTTATTGACATCTAAGAGATAATTACACGTAAGATACCTGTGTGAAACTATTATTGAAAGGTTCTTCATCTCAAAGTCCAAAGAACTTAGGAGACCGAGCTCCTCGTGGGTCAGAGTAAAATACTTTTTAGTTTCTACAACTACAGAGCTCAACAGAACCCTCAAAACTCAATCTGTTCATCACTGAAAGTCAAATAGATTTTTTTTTCATTTTCTTGAAGACAGTTTTTATTCTTTACCCTTTAGTGTAAAGCGTGCTTTCTTCTTAATATTTTTAACATATTTCACAGTTTCTTAGTTATGTTGAGTCAGTATTTTTCTGTTTACTTCCTGAAAATGTGTCTTAGTTCTGTTAGCAAAAACTTAGTTGTCCAAATATCAGGCAAGAAGGCCATCACTGTCACTTACAAAAGCCAGTAAAAAACCTCAACAAAACAAACAACCCAAAACCAAACCAAGAAAACCTGAGCTTTGTCAGCCCTCGTTTGGGAACACCCCTCACTTTTGTCCCAGCTCAAAGCACAACCACTAGATTGAACCTTAACTCGGAGGCAAAAGCAAATCTTTTTGTCATTGAAACTAGAGACTGGTGAAACAGCCTAATGTGAACAGAAACTTGCATGCATTTCAATTCAAAATAAGAACCTGTTTTATCAAAGACGACAACTTCTCTGATAACTAAGAGAGTTGGAGAGTTTTTAACATCACTCTAAGTTACGCTATGTTACCAAAGCAGGCAATAACCTAGTCAAGTGTACTAAAATCAAACAGGACCTATTTCTTTTTTTGCTGTTGAGAAATAGAGTGGCTGGTGTAAATCTCAGCCAAGATAATTTAAGTCCTTTTCAAAGTAAAGTTGCAGTCAAGCAACAGCTCTGTTCAGGTTTGAGGTTTTCTGAGCAAAACGATCATTCATTAGATTAACTACCCACTTCCTTATCAAAAAATAGGGCAGCGGGTGTTTCTTAAAAAATACATTTCAGCAAATACTTTGAGGAAATATAATAGGCTGCCTGGGCATTTACTTATGGGTATGAACGACTTTGAAGAATTTTGTATTGCCTATGCTTACAAGGCAGACTGAGAGATGGGAACACCTCCAGACGTATTATTCTCTACACTTACTTATTTTGTTACACAGTTTGCTGTTGCAACATTTTAAAAGATCTGCCTTTAAAAGACTAGAATTTCCACACTAACTATAAGTTGAGCTTGTCCAGCTCTGAGGAGTGAATGGCGTTTCTGCTGTCCAGAATGCCTTTTGCTTGCTCTGGAAATAGAGTAAAGGAACAGAGAATTCAGTCTTCAAAATTGTCTTTTTTCTTAAACTGCTGCCACACTAAGAGATGACCACCTTTTGAAAAAAAAGGAGACCAAGATCTTGCTATCAGCTACTTTCCCAGTTATTTTTTTGCACTGTCTGCTACTTTCCAGAACTGGAAGTCTTGACTGATACTGCACAACACTACAGACTGAGATAAACAATCTTTTTTCACCATCGATGGAACTTTTTCCATTCTTTTTGTTGCTTTATGCAATTTATCCCCATGAGTTTCCTAAGTAACCGTTTCCTGAAATCAAGCGGAAAACAAGTCTTAACACGAACTTGTCGCTTAGGCTTCTGAAATGTCAAATCCCCTACCAAACCAGGTGTCTGCACTTACACTTTATCAAAATCCGTAGGAATTCTGCGAGCAGTACAACTACTGAAACACAGGATTTTTGGTGGGTTTTTTTTTTTGGTCTCAAGTTTTGGCGTGGACTCTCTGATGCTCGCTAATGCCTGAACTACTCCTGGGTTGCCAAGTGCAGGGGAAGGTGTGGGTGCGGACAAGGCATCCAGGGCGGGCACCCCATCTACGCTCTGTTACGCTTGCAAACGCGGCAGGCTTTTCCGAAGCGGTGGGAGCCCCGGGGAAGGCGGATGAGCACGCCGTGGCTAAAAAGTGCCACCGGAGACAGAACCGCTGCCTGTGTACGGGACCTCGGGGCGAGCCCAAGGAGTATTTCAGGTGAGGAGGAAAACAAGTCCGGGTTTCCCACCGCCAAACAGGTTTCGCCGTTCCCCTCGCTGTGACCGGGAACCAGAGCTCGATGCATTTATTCCCTGGGGTTTGCTCCCCGGATTAACGGCGCCGTTTAACCCGTGAGGGCCTCTGAGGAGCGGCGGGGTCGGCGCT